GGTTCTTTCCCATCACTCAAATCTCAGTTTAAATATCCCTCCCTCAGAGAAGCCTTCCTTGACACTGACTGCAGAACAACACGAGACCATTCTCTAACACACTGCACTATTTGGTTGCCTTCAGGGCAATTAGCAATTTAGGTGGGATTTTGGTGTGTGTGTCGGACTGTCACTCTGTCGCCCAGGCTGGAGTGCAGTGGCACGCTCATGGCCACCGCAGCCTCTACCTGCTGGATTCAGGCAATCCGTCCCCCTCAGCCTTCCAAGTAGTTGAACTACAGGCCCAGAGCCACCATGCCAGGCTAATTTTTTGATTTATTGTAGAGATGAGGTCTCGCCAAGTTTCCCAGGCTGGTTTCCAACTCCGGGGCTCAATCCTCTCGCCTCAGCCTCCCAAAGTACTGGGATTACAAGCTTGAGCCACCGCTCCCGGCTGGTGGTTTTAGTTTTATTCATTCATGCATTCGTCATTTTTGAGCTGGTGTCTCTCACTCTGTCGTCCAGGCTGGAGTGCAGTGGCTCACGGCCACCACAGCCTCAGCCTGCTTGGCTCAGGCGATCCTTCCTCCTTGGCCTTCCAAATTGCTGGAGCTACGGGCACGTGCCACCACATCCATCTGATTTTTTGATTTATTGTAGAGATGAGATCTCGCCAGGTTGCCCAGACTGGTCTTGAACCTGTGGGCTCAGGCTATCATCTCACCTAAGCCTCCCAAAGTGCTAGGAGTATAGGCATGAGCCATAGCGCCCGGTAGTATTATTTATTTGACTCCCTAATTGTTTTGTCTCCCTCCACTAAAATGCTCTGTCTTGGTTAAGACTATACAATATTCCCAATGACTAATTAGGCCCTTAGTTGTTTCTTTTGGGGAGTGGGGAGCAGCAGGGCTGGACCAATGAATGAATGAATGGAGATCCTACCTCTATTCTCAGGATGTCTCAAGTTTTAGGAACAAAGTGGCCTGTTCTTTGGAGCCAGAATGGAGGGCAGAGGTAGACTGAGGAAAGCCTAAGGAGGGGAAGGAAGGGTTGAGAAAGAGGCTGGAGATCTGGATTAGAGAAACAGCGAGGCTGCGGAGGCTGAGGGAGGCTTCCAAGGTCAAAGGGGCCTTTCAAACGAGCGGATCGGCACAGAGGAGGTTCCGGCGTGCTGAAACCCGACAGGCGGGGATGG